AAAAAATATATATATATATATATATATAATTTTTTTTTTTTTCGTTTTTTTTTTTTCACTGCTGTCCTCAGACTTGCATATAACATTCAGGAGTGTCTGTCTGCTCACTTACATCATCTAAACCACTCTCTTGTGTCTGGGTTATGAAATGCTCGAGCTCTGTTAGGGTGGAGATTATATATCCTGCTTTACCACAACTTTCTTCTCTTGCAGAGGAGGATCGCATCAGAAAGCCTCAGTTAATGGTGAAGAAAGAGCAACCCTCATCTATCTCTGGTGTGAGTTTAAGAAGTATTTCATTTATATTTCTACTTTCTCTTTTAAATTTGTAAAATCACATTTTATGAATAAATTGTATTAGGATTTTAACTAGCATATATACTTTAAGTAGTTGTGAAATTGCAGACTTCTTTCAATATTTTTGTCACCATAACAGAATACAAGAAACTAAGGGGTTAAATTTATGTTTGTATTTTGCAGATGATCTAATGGCAGACCAAAGAATGGACATAACTTCCACGATGAATGAGTTCATGTCTCCCAGTTCCACTGACCTGATCAGCAGCTCAATGGGAATGCCGGGCATGGACTACACCCGCAAGAGGAAGGGCAGCATCACCGACTATCAGTAAGAGCAAGTCCTAACAGATCCTCTTACTCTGTTCAAGATTGTTCATCATCATTCACATTTGTGTGCTCATAATGGACCTCAAGCAGGATTTATGATGAGATTCAGGACCCTGTGTCTGGAATTATGGCACCATTCAAAAGTTTGGGGTCAGTAAGATTTTTATTTTTATTTTTTGAAGGAAAAAAAAAAAAAAAACTAATACTTTTATTCAGCGAGGATGCAGTAAATTGATCATATGTGACAGCAGAGACATTTACTATGGTACAATTTTTTTTAATTTCAGATAAGTGTTATTCTTTTGAATTTGACAAATCTAGAAGAAAGTATCACATTTTCAAAAAAAAAATGCAGCAGAATATTGATAATTTATTATCAATCAATATTGATATTAATAATAAGAAATATTTTTGAGCAGCAAATCAGCATGTTAGAATAATTTCTGAAGAATCATGTGACACTGTGAAGACTGGAGTAATGATGCTGAAAATTTTTTCCAGCTTTACATCACAGGAATAAATTACATTTGTGAATCAGGTGCAAACATTGCGAAAACAGCTTGTGCAAATAAACACTATTTGCACAGTGAAATCATCCCTTTAATAGTTTATAACTGTTAGGGTCTGAATATCACGCATAGTAGCAGTTATTGTATTAGCAGTTATTGTGTTATATGTAGCTGTAATTTTGAGGTTTGTTTTTAACAATAACTTGTAATGCAGGGTTTTCCATCCAAGGGGGTTCATGAGATTCTAAAAAAAATTGGCATGTTCTTATAAAAAGGACCAAGTTAGTTGTTTTAATTGTTTGAAAATAAGAACACGTGTAGTTCTATTATATTATCCATCAAGTAAATATTTGAGGTCATAGAGGTTTAGATGAGTAAAAAATAATTTTGGTCAGTTATGAAACAAGTCATTATGAAACAACCAATCTGGAGCTGATAGTGCATGAGATGGGAGTTACATCATAACAAGTCATAGTATATTTGTAACTCGTACCATATTGTGGGATCCTTATCCTGCAATGATATTTAATGACGAGAAATTAATCAGATGTGCTCTTAACCTAATCATTTATGGACTATAATGAAATAAACAAGAAAGAGAAGAATTAATTTGTTATAAAGAGTAGTTTTCATGTGGTTCTGAGAAATAATTTGCCCTTTTACTTGCAAATCAGGGTATATAACCATTCAGGTTACTTTATATAGGTTGACTTGTGAACTACAGTGGTGTGAAAAAGTGTTGGCCCCCTTCCTGATTTCTTATTTTTTTGCATGTTTGTCACACTTTAATGTTTCAGATCATCAAACAAATTTAAATATTAGTCAAACATATCACAAGTAAACACAGCATGCAGCTTTTAAATGAAGGTTTTTATTATTAAGGGAAAACAAAATCCAAAACTACATGGCCCTGTGTGAAGAAGTGTTTGCCCCCCTGTTAAAACTGTGGTTTATCACACCTGAATTCAATTTCTCTAGCCACACCCAGGCCTGATTACTGCCACACCTGTTCGCAATCAAGAAATCTCTTAAATAGGACCTGCCTGACAAAGTGAAGTAGACCAAAAGATCCTCAAAAGCTAGACATCATGCCGAGATCCAAAGAAATTCAGAAACAAATGAGAAAAAGTAATTGAGATCTATCAGTCTGGAAAAGGTTATAAAGCCATTTCTAAAGCTTTGGGACTCCAGCGAACCACAGTGAGAGCCATTATTCACAAATGGCAAAAACATGGAACAGTGGAGAACCTTCCCAGGAGTGGCCGGCCGACCAAAATTACCCCAAGAGCACAGCGACGACTCATCCAAGAGGTCACAAAAGACCCCACAACAACATCCAAAGAACTGCAGGCCTCACTTGCCTCAATTAAGGTCAGTGTTCATGATTCAACAATAAGAAAGAGACTGGGCAAAAACGGCATCCAGTAAACGCTTGATTGCAGTTGTTGCTGCTAAGGGTGGCCCAACCAGTTATTAGGTTTAGGGGGCAAACACTTTTTCACACAGGGCCATGTAGTTTTGGATTTTGTTTTCCCTTAATAATAAAAACCTTCATTTAAAAGCTGCATGTTGTGTTCACTTGTGTTACCTTTTACTAGTGTTTAAAGTGTGACAAACATGCAAAAAAATAAGAAATCAGGAAGGGGGCCAACACTTTTTCACACCACTGTATTTAAGCTAATGTATTTGTTTACTGTTCATTTTTAAGGGACAGTATGGACATAGACAAGGACAAACAACTTGGAAGGTAAATTAATGATTGATTTATTTATATACTGTATATTTATACATCAAAAATGGTATTATCAGCATAAAAAATCTAAAGGTTTAACTGAAAAAATGTAACATGTTTTTTTTTTAGTATTTAGTTTGTTGCCCTTTTTCTTTAAGGGTATGCTTCAAAGGGAATTTAATACATTTCCTATTATATATATATATATATATATATGTACTGTATATACATACATACAGTAATGCTTGAAAGCTTGTGAAATCTTTAGAATTTCCACGATATTTCCACATAATTATGACCCAAAAGATCATCACTAGGGCTGTCACTAACGATTATTTTGGTAATTGAGTAATCGGTCAATTATTCTGATAAATGATAACAGTTTGTGTGGAGCAGCATTTACTGTACTGTGAACAAAGCTGCTCTGACATGCACGTACATAACCTACATGCAATAATTAAAGTGCATATATTAAGCCTGCATTGCATATATTTATTTAACTGAATCGTAGCGTTTGTCAATTCACAATAGCATTATGCTTTATTATGATTCTTAAATGGGTTTAGTATATCATGCAGCCTGCGTTTCATGGATTGTCGTCCATGGAATGCGCCACTTCCGGTATTTTGCCGGTTATTTGATACGGGCAAATTGCAGTCAAGGATTTTTTTAAATCAAGTACTCTAATTGAATCAAGGAATCGTGACAGCCTGAATCATCAGATTTTCACACAAGTCCTGAAAGTTGGCAAAGAGAATACAATCAAACAAATTACACAACAATATATACTTTGTCATTTATTTATTGAGAAAAATTATCCAGTGTTACACATCTGTGAGTGACAAAAGTATGTGAATCTTTGCTTTCAGTATCTGGTCTGACCCCCTTTTGCAGCAATAACTGCAGCTAAACGGTTCTTGTAACTGATGACCAGTCCTGCACAACAGCTTGGAGGAATTTTAGCCCATTCCTCAGTACAGAACTGCTTAACTCTGTGATGTTGGCAGGTTCCCCTCCTCTGAACTGCCTGCTTCAGGACCTTCCAAAAAATTTTAATTGGATTAAGGTCTTTGACTTGACCATTCCAAAACATTACATTTTCTTCTTGAACCATTCTTTGTTAGAATGACTTGTGTGCTTGAGATTGTTGTCTTGCTGCATGACCCACTTTCTTGAGATTCAGTTCACTGACAGATGTCCTGACATATTCTTTTAGAATTTGCTGGTGTAATTCAGAATTCATTGTTCCATCAATGATGGCAAGCCGTCCTGGACCAGATGCAGCAAAACAGGCCCAAACTATATATAGCACCATTCACACAGAGATTCCAGAAAATACACGGATAATGTGTCCCGGGAATTGTTCCCGGATCGTTAGATTTTGGTTCATTCACACTGCCAGTGATTTCCCGGAATCTGTGCGTGTGTTCACACACAACTCGTAAAGGTCCCGTAATGACACGTGACATCAGGATGTGACGTGTAATGTACGAGTCAAAAACTTGAGCTTACTTATTACCTGTAATTTCTCTCTCGAGAAGCCACACTGTTTCATTTTGGTTTTAATTTGCTCATACACAGCCGCATCATGTACCATTCCACTGAGCTGGTGAACGATCTCAGCTTCAGCGCAGATACTGAGGAGCTCCGTGGTCTCTGCTTCAGCCCAGTTTGCGCACATTTCTGTTTATTTATTTTTTTTACTCGAACACCACTCTCTGCGTTTAAAACACCGACTAGCCTCTCCGGCACTGCAAGGTTGTATTATTGAAAACACCCGCTCAAAGAATCGCACGATAACTACATCATAACTACGACACATCTGTTACGGCATTGGTTCCGGCTTTTGTTCACACAGGGCACCTTCCGGGACTGAACCCGGCAATGTTATAGGTCCCCAACCCAGGATCGATGCCGGAATCAATCCCGGGACGTGTTTGCGTTCACACAGAAGGCACTCCGGCAATTTTCTGAGACCAACGTGCAGTGTTAAAGGGGTTTATTATACTACCACCACCATGTTTCACAGATGGGAAAAGGTTCTTATACTGGAATGCAGTGTTTTCCTTTCTCCAAACATAACGCTTCTCATTTAAACCCAACATTTCTCCAATAGCCCTCTGGCATGTCCACAAGATCTTTAGCAAGCTGCAGACGGGCAGTGATTTTCTTTTTGGAGAGCAGTGGCTTTCTCCTTGCAACTCTGCCATGCACACCATGGTTGCTCAGTGTTCTCCTGATGGTGGAATCATGAACATTAACATTAGCCAGTGTGAGAAAGGCCTGGGGTCCTTTGCAACCTCGTGGACAATTACACGTCTTGCTTTTGAAGTGATCTTTGTTGGTCGACCACTCCTGGGGAGGGTAACAGTGGTCTTGAATTTCCTCTATTTGTACACAAACTGTCTTGACTGTAGATTTGTCGAGTCCAAACACTTTACAATTGGTTTTGTAATATTTTACAGCCTGATGAGCAACATCAACTCTTTTTCTGAGGTCCTCAAAGACCTTCTTTTGTTCATGCCATGATACACTTCCACAAACATGATCAGACTTTGATAGATCCCTGTTCTTTAAATAAAACAGAGCAGGCAATGTCACCTGATAAACATCCCATTGATTATAAACACCTCTGAACAGATGGACTCTAATTTCGCCTTAAAATTAACTGCTAATCCTAGAGATTCACATATTTTTGCCGTCATTTTCCAGAATAAATAAATGACAGAGTATATATTTTTGTCTCATTTGTTTGATTGGATTCTCTTTGTCAACTGTCAGCACTTGTGTGAAAATCTGATGATCTTTTGGTTCATATTTAAGCAAAAATATAGAAAATTCTGAAGGGTTCACAGATTTTGAAGCATCACTGTGTGTGTGTGTGTGAGTGTGAGAAATTTTCAAAATAAAATGGTAAAACAATTTTTTGGACCAATTCTCACTATTAACTAGTTGCTTATTAGCATGCATATTACTAGCATATTGTCACGGAAACGGGTGTGTGGAGGCAGGCAGGACGACGAGGACGACAAGGATTCCAATAATGACATTTATTGTAGACACAACAAGGCAGGTTCAGGTAGGTGAGACACACACTCGGCGTAACATTAACAATAACCGACACCAATGCTCAGACAGACAGGAACTAATATGGGGTGAATAATTAGAGGCAGACAGGTGAGCACAATGACGGTGATTAACTAATGATTAGACGGGCTAAACCAACACAAAGGGAAGAAACCACAACAAACAGTCCACAGGGGCGTTACACATATTGGCTGTTTATTAGTACTTATAAAGCACAAATTAATGTCTTATTCTGCATGTGCATATTCTAGATCCTTTAATCCAACCCAATACATAACCTTAACAACTACCTTACTAACTATTAATAAGCAGCAAATTAGGAGTTTATTGAGGGAAAACTCTTAGTTAAAAGTGAATATGTGTTCCCTATTCTAAAGTGTTACCAATAAAATGGTTATTGGTTATTCCACCACGTGACTGTATCTGATTATCTGGTGTTTATACTAAGGCTACATGATTAATTATTTCTGAGACAAACTATTTTTCTCTCAACAGGGTTGATCAGCAGATTAAGAATGCAAGGTAATGTAATCCAGAGCAATTCTGTATATACTGTATATATATATATATATATATATATATATATATACTATAATTGATAGATCATATGCTATTATAGATCCTGTGCCTTTTCTTCCAAGTGTAACATTATTTTGGACTCTCGGTCATCAACAGGGACGCTCACAGTCAGATAGAAAAGAGACGCAGAGACAAGATGAACAGCTTTATTGATGAGCTGGCTTCATTAGTGCCTACCTGCAACGCCATGTCCCGCAAGCTGGACAAACTCACAGTGCTGCGCATGGCGGTCCAGCACATGAAAACACTTCGAGGTGAGATTCGTCATTCTCAGCAGAGAACTCAGCTTTTTAATGCCATTATCTTTACATTAGAGATGTGCATTCAAGTTATTTTGTAGTTGAGTACTGTATCGTAAAAATGACTTAAAAGTATGACATGTACATCACAAACATTATATCATCAGTAATGGTAGCAAAACAGGTTAATTGAACAATCTGTGCTTTTTTTTTTTAAGTTTAAATAAGCAGTATGCATTAAATAGATATTTGGAATAGACTATTGATGTATTTATACAACATTGTCTTGCTATCTAAAATAATTTAGTTAAATTATGTATATTATTATATCAGATATTATTGATATTTAAATATTCATAATGAATATTATGGTTTTATTGAGATACTGTATTCTAATGATTATGCAGTTCAGTTGTACGGAAATGCATAATGACAAATAACAGTTCTAAAATTAAACATAATTATATAAGGGGACATGGTGATAGAAAAAAAATATATATTTCAATGCTTCTGCATTTGCTTACAAAAGTTCTGCATTTCCCCCGAAAAGGTTTTTCGAGCAAACACAAAACTAGTGATGGAAATCATAGAAATGGAGTGTTAATAATAACTGTATTTTGCAATGTGCAATACTTTTAAGAGAGAATGCAAAAGTTTTGCAAACGAATGCAAAGTTTCACAGTAGGGAGCTCAAACGTTTTGCAAAGTGAACACACTTGGCAATGCAAACGTTTTGTGAGCATATGACATCATTTTTCCTCCCATCATTTTTTTCCATAACCAAAGTCTCCTTAAAGGGATAGTTCACCCAAAAATGAAAATTTGATGTTTATCTGCTTACCCCCAGGGCATCCAAGATGTAAGGTGACTTTGTTTCTTCAGTAGAACACAAACAAAACATTTTAACTCAAACCGTTGCAGTCTGTCAGTCTTATAATGGAAGTGAATGGGAATCACGGCTTTGAGAGTAAAAAAAAACATACACAAATTAAACCCTGCGGCTCATGACGATACATTTATGTGTAAAGACACAAAACGATCAGTCTGTGCAAGAAACTGAAGAGTATTTATATCGTTTTTTACCTCTGATGCACTGCAATGTCTGAACTGTCCTGAGCGCGTCCTCGACAGCCGGCGTGTGACGTGTCATCTTCTTCTTGCTTTATGGCGGATCGCAGACTTGTAAGTGCATTACCACCACCTATCTCTCAAATGGACCATTGACACTCTTATCTACAATCTCAATTAGGAGTGTCAGAGATAGGTGGCGGTAATGCACTTACAAGTCTGCGATCCACCTATTTATATTGTTTTTTACCTCTGATGCACTGCAATGTCTGAACTGTCCTGAGCGCGTCCTCGACAGCCGGCGTGTGACGTGTCATCTTCTTCTTGCTTTATGGCGGATCGCAGACTTGTAAGTGCATTACCACCACCTATCTCTCAAATGGACCATTGACACTCTTATCTACAATCTCAATTAGGAGTGTCAGA